GTGGCCCAAGGGAGCTTTGATCTCAAGAGCCGCCTCATCTGAATCCTGACTCCAGCATCTTTCCTTTAGGGTTTTTTTTTTAGAAAAAAAAAAACAATGTGAGGCCGCATTTCCTTCCCCTTCTTCCCTCCTGGAAAGGTGAAGCAATGGGACAACATCATGCCTAGTGAAAGGGAAGGACAGGCACTGCTAATGCAAATGTCACCACTCTCTCTGTGGGTTTACAAACCAGGTAAAGCAATTTTCTCCCATGTGGTGTCAAGGTTACAGCTGAACGCTGAGCTCTCTTGTGCCAGGTTCACTCACTCCCACTATCCATTATTCGGCTAAACCTTGTTTAGCTTGAGGCCTGAAAGAGACCCATTATTTGTGCTGCATGGCTCAGAATCTGGCATTTGAGCTGCAGATATTGCTCAAACAGACACTGCAAACCACAGGCTCAGAGTGGAGCTGCGATCGCCATCTCCCTCACCCCCCGATGAACATTCTGAAAGAGGCTGGTTATTTTCACTAAACAGGAAACTCTGCTTTCACAAATACACCAGCGATTCAGAGCTTCGAATCTCCATGTCGTCCTTTACAAAGCAAAAAACAAACTCGACTCCGTCGCTGAACTTCACATCCAATATCTCCGATCATTCGTTCTGGCTAACGTATTTATAAACCTGCTTTGAATCCGATGCATACCTCATTGATTTCAGCAGCAAGCCTGTCATGTCTGATAGCTGTGACACTGATGGATTGCAAAGGGCTGGTCAATTTATACCGAGACAGCTACCTTTAATGAATTGCAAGCTCTCTGCACTCATGTAACCATATCGATTTGGGGCTTATAAAAATAGATTGTGTTTTTTTTTACTTCCTCAACTTGAGGTCTTCACATCTACATTACAGCACTTTTGAACAGGAATTTCAGAGTGATTTCCTTGAAAAAAACAAGCACAAAGCACAGGGCTGACCTTTTCATAGTTCATGATAATGCACTTGCACCTGCTTTTTTGCATACTACACCTAAGTTGAAAAGATATGATTCAATTCCTTATGCTCACATCACTGTGTAAACATAGCAGAAAAGGAGCTAACCCTACCTCTTTATTTTAGTTTGAGAAATGTAAAATTAATTTAAACCAAAGTACAGAAGTAAGTAAAAACAAGTACTCATTTACTCCTGCTAAAACAGTTAAAAGTACACGTTATTATTTTGGAAGAAATTTACAAGTCTAAACCGGATAAAGCAATAAACATGAATGGATGGGACTAAGTTATTTAAATCATTAAAATTTAAACTCCAATCAAGTCATCAAGAATCTAAAGAAAACTCAAATAAATTTTGTGTGAGTGACTCTCAGTGAACTAGGATGCTGCATTGATATCAAGTGAATACACTGTCAGGTTCTTCCTATTTTTTGTTCAAGATAAATATATTTTAAAAAAGTTTGCTTTATTAGCACTAACAGAAAGTGAAATTTGTCAGAATTTGACATGAAGAATTCCTCTCTACCTGCCAGGTGAATTGTATTTCGAAAAAAGATGCTGATCATTCAATTACGAAAGTTGTTTCTTCATTTTAAGTGCCAGTTCATTGCTCAATCCCTTGGTTGATATTCCAAGTGTTTCAGGAACAGGTTTAAGTATTTGCATATAAAATAAACTGAAGTCTCCTCTCCAAGTTCACTGTAGCATGTTATTAAGTGTAAAAGAAATTCTTATTTGACAGAATTGGATTGCTAAGCTAGGCATTGCATCACGAACTGGCTGATGTAAAATGAAAATTGTTAGGTAGTTAAAATCAGAATGAATTATCCATAATGTTCAAACAGAAAAGGTTTTTTTCATTGTGCTGAAGCAAAAGAATAACAAATGATAAGAGTATCAATAATAAAATGGAAGTTTTAGGCAATAAAATGGGAAATGGCTAATACTGTAAATACTCAGGTGTCTATCATGGAAGAAATTGGGGTCAGAGTGCAGAGTGCAGGGTCAGCCATTTATACAGCGCCCCTGGAGCAGTTGGGGTTAAGGGCCTTGCTCAGAGGCCCAACAGAGTAGGATTCCTTTGCCGGCCACGGGATACGAACCAGCAACCTTCCAGCCACAGACGCAGATCCTTAGCTACAGAGCCACTGCACCGCAAATTAACAACATGCTACAGGTTGAACAAGGACAGTTTATATTAAGTAGCATTAGCATAAAAAGGCAGAAATGTTAAGGGTACTAGAAGCACTTAAGTTAAATCTAATCTCCAGGAGACGATGCTATTCTACCATTAACACTAAAGGAAATGAGATGTGATTCATAAACCGTTAACCAAATACTTCCATCAGTCACTCAAAACAAAGGCAATGTTCTGATGGCAAACTTGCTAAAGTAGTACTCATCCATAAAAAGGGTGACAAAATCATACCGCACAATTAAAGAATAGCAATAAGTCTTTGGAAAAACCTTGGAAATGAGGTGACAAAAAATTACAAAATATCGCAAGCTGAATTTTAGGTCAACAGATTCCCTGTTGATGGAGTAGAGTAACTGTGTGAGAGAGTAGATTTAGACAAAACGAGACTTGTGGTGAAACGTTTCTCTTTGTTTTCAATGAGCCCTCTTGACATGGGTCCCCAGGTAACAGCTTTAAAACCCCTGTTTTAAAACAGTTACCATACTGTTTTTACATCAGTCTCTGGGTTTTGGATGAAAGCTAACAAGATCTTTTATTAACATCACCATGTCTCACACAGGTTTTCCATACTTGTAATGCATCTTCAATTTCATATTCTTGGGTATAAAATTCAACTAAATCTCTTAAGATTTTCCCTTTTGAACTGGCATGTGGCATATATCACAAGATGAATTCATATGAGGATGAGCTGTAGAAAAGATAACCCTAAGGATGATTTTCCATTTTCTATCTACAAGAAATGAGATAGACATGTTTAAATAAAACAACCCTTACTATTTTATTAAATTCAGAAGACTCAATTAAGTTGTCCAACATGGTGATGCTTGCAGGTTTAATCAGTTTATACTGTAGGTTTTCTATTTTCATATGTGAGAGCCCTGCTGAAAAAGGGTTTGGTTGCTCTTTAATAATGTCTAACGTTCCTGTAAACTCAATACTGAAATATGACAGTGACAGCTATTTCAGACTGTGTAAGACACTTGGTATAATTTCGCAATTAAGTCTACATATTCCAAAGCAGAGCAGAGATAAGATGCAGTCAGGCATAAAGATATAATGCAAATAACTACAGTGCAGAAACAAAAACACTGCTTTCCAGTATTACTCTAGCTGATTATGAGATGAGGGATCATTTTGTAATTACAGCAGAATCAAAATAAAAATAGAAGCAAAATACCAATGCTGGATGAAATCTGAATATATAAATCAAGTGATTCAATGATTCAAATCATTAGAAAATCTAATCTAAAACACTTGGTTCCAGTCCTGTTAGACACAAAATTACACCAACACATAAAAAGCAGATGCCAAACTACACTGGAGTTCCAGCAGTCAAGAATGTTTAATGTCATGATGCCAGCTCATAATCCTTCCCCTCGATACTGAGAATGATGAAGATACAGTATGCAAATGACTTTCTTGATCAGAATGAAGCAACCACATTTGTTTAACGTTCACAAGATTCAGAAATCGCGCTTTGTTTTTAGAGATCAATATTCAACTACAGAAAGTAAACCATACTGTAGCGCTCTTGGGTTCACGTGGGTATGCGCCCTCGCCGCTGCCGCCTCAGGTCGGCCCCCCACCTCTGGGGGCTCAAACCTGGGCCTCCGGCATCACTCAACAGGGAACCAGCCAGCTGAGCTAAAGGGAGATCTCCTGTCAGCCCGGCAGCTGAGGTCCCTGCTATTCACAGGGAAGGGTGGTGACGTCACCGCGCTGGTAAGCCGGCTCGCACAACCTGTAATGTCGCCCATATGTGTTACAATATTAAAGAAATCAGTAGAATCGTATCATCCTACTGTCATCAACTCACTGCACACTAACATATGCCAACTCAAAATCTAGGCACCAAGGAAGCTGATTTTGACTTGTGTCATTGACAATAATGGCTGAGGAGATCCTTAGAGAGTGCTATGGCAAAAAAAAAAAACAACAACCTTAAGCTCTCTTTTCTTAGGGACATTAGCTTTGACCGATGGGAGAAACCTGAAATTTAGTTCCTTGGAAATCTGAGCCAATTTCCATTCTATTCAATTCATTGGCATTATATGTCTTGACAGAAACACAGTAGAATCGCTGTGACACATATGGAATCACACAACAATCCTACGAGTCAGGAGATAAGCTGTACAGTACCTGTACTCCTTCCCCTAGACCACCATTTTCAAAGCAATGTCTGAATACCTCGAACAGGGGACACTGTGCAGTAGAAGACATCCACTGAATGTGGCTGAATGCATAATCTGGCCTCCCTGAAGTTCCCTTTAATTCAGATAACGAAGCAATTTCTCAACAGCTGCCGTCTGATCTCCTGTCTGCTGGGATTGCTGCACTTCAGTGGCTAATAAAGATAAAGAATCCCTTTCTATATTTAAAGTACTCTGAGATCCTTTAGGATAAAGAGGGCTACGTAAATACAATTAATTATACTCGGTAATCAACACAGACTCTTTGATCGATCTGGGATTGAAAAGACACGCACTAGCAAACAGAACCTCTGCCAGATGTTTATCAAAGCATAGCAGGAAATGAATTAGATCATGAGCTGGGTGTGTAACTGAAATGTCTGAAATAAGCCTCGATCACACCACATCAATGCTGCAGTCTTTAAGGCCAGAGGTGGTTTTCCTGAGAGAGATATAGATGCACGTGTCACTTATTTGTTAGCGATGAAAGCGAAGAACACCAAGACGGGTTGTAATTCAACCATGAACAGCAAAAACCATGCTGGCTTCTGACAGGACAGAGATCTGTACAGATCAGAAAACACTCTCAAGTATTTTATATAAAAGTAACTTGCTTGAGCCAGAATGGTCTCACTCACCTTCCTGCAAGCGGAGGTGATGAAGGAAAAGAGGGTTCTGGAGAACGTTGCAACGTCCCGGCTCGTCTTCTCTCGTCAGCAGCATCAGGTCCGTGTAGATAAAGACAGTCACCTACGGGAAAAGAGTACCAGACATCACTTAAAGACAAGAAGCCCTTCTCAGAGTGAAGCACTAATGAGGTTTCACAGAGGCAGAGACTCACACGGGGCAGTGATCACTGAGCATAGGCAATGACAAAGCAATGATATCATAAACCCCAGCTTACTGCTCCCAGTTCGCACAGAGGTTGCGTATTTGAAAAATACCATAAAATTTGAACTCCAAAATATGAAAAAGTAAAACAAACGTATCCGAGCAAGGCAGGGGACACTAAGTAAATACGGTTATTTTGTGCACTTTTTTGGAGAATAAGTTATGAGATTTGTGAAGTGTTACTGGATGTTCAAGCCTGGATTGATTATGTGACTAGACTGTGCAAAAGAACCCTGCTATTGTTGATTTACAGTATATACAGACATTTTTAAGAATTTCAAAAAATCAAAGGCATTTTGAGCAACTCCTTTTTTGGAAACACATATCTTTATATACTTCATAGAGTACGTCGACTGCACTCAAGAAAGGTTTGAAAAAAACAGAAACATTTTTCAATGTTGGAAAGCTTTTTCGTAATCAACATTACAACTTAAAAAGACGAAGTTTAAAAAGGCAAAGATGTTCAACATTTTAAAGCATCAAGGCCAGACAGATTCAAATTTGCATGCCTTCTTTCTGCTTGGTTGAACCTTTGCAGGAGTGTGTGTTTTTCGTGGGCAGAATTATAAACGTTAAAACCATGATTTAAAAAAACATAAAGCTGGACTGCATGCTAACACTACAAAGTGAATAATGCCAGAACATTAGTAGGATTGCATAAAGTATTCTACCTGCATCACCCATAGAATCTTTAAGACCTTTTGGAGAGGAAATGTGGCGTGTGAGTTTTCAAAAGCTGGGCAGGGTACAGTAGCTCCCCACATGCTTCCTTCCTGGGTTTCAGGATTCATGTAGCTGTATTTACGATCACCTCTGTGTCACCAGACCATTCAACAATGCAGAAACGACAGTGCTCTGCCTTGAAGTCTGTATTACATAACCGCTTAACCGGCAGAATTCAGGATACCAGAGCGTGCGTCCCTTGTGAATTAAGCAATTCTCAGAATACTGACACAGTGCTTTACTATTAATTATAAAAAGAAGTCTAAGTCTACAAGAGACAATGGGGAGATATGAGAAACAAATTCTGAGCAGACAGCTGCTTAACTTTATCCACAACAAACTAAAGAACAAGGCTTTAACATTCATTAATTGACATTTGCAATGAATGCATCAAGATAGTTGTAAAACACTGTCAAAAGAATCTCTGATTGTACTGAATTTATTTTGGTTGGGATTAATATTAACCAAAATAAAAGGTCCATGTTATTATTTATTAACGGCACCATTTCAGGATGTAGAAGAAAACATACCATTTGCGTTTCCAGACAATTTGTCATATAAATGACACCAAACAATTATTAAAAATCCAGGCAGCTCTGAATTGCTTTTTGAATGACAAGAAGGATGAGATTTCCCTCTGTTAGTTCTGGGAGGTTGACAAGAACAATAGCTGAAGACAATTTCAGTGAAAATCCAACCTCCACAATGCCCATACACTATTCAGAAGGCATGGATATGTAATAAAATGCAAAAAAGAGTATTAAATTCCTGAACTGTGTTGAGATACTCTTCAGGGATGAAAGGTTACAAGTGTTTTGGAAGACATACAGACACAAACAAATGCATAGTGTTCGTACTGTAGGTCTGTGTACTGCTCAATTCATAATTAAAAAAGTTTAAGCAATGAAAATAGTAAAGTTCCTGCTGTTCTGTGTGTTTGGGGGGCATATTAATGACTACATAATCACAAAAAAATTAACTTTCAGTTTTTCCTATTTCTTAATGCATCCCACATCACTTCAGTAAAAATCCAAAATCATCATTTTTAACTCGGCTGTACTGAAAACTACATTTTGAGCAGCCGAATTGCAGCAGTCTGTCTAGATCAGTGAATCAAAACATTCATGGGGGACTGTCTCTGCTTGTTCGCATTCAGACCTTTCTGTACTTGGTTTCCTACAAAAGGGAAAAGAAGGTAAAACTGAGAGTAGTGAAATATATTCTTTAGGTAATCATTAAATCACTAATTCTTTAGATATGTTTGCTAATGATATTTAGAAATATGCTTTATAAATTCCACATAGTCAGAAATTATTACAGTGTCACAGTTCTCCCCTCTGGAGGAAGATCTATTTTCAGAAAAGGCCAACTACTACATGCTGATCTGTATTTCATAAACAAAGAGACACACATCAAGGCAGACCCAGGGATATGAAACAACACACCATCAATTTGTAGTCACAGCTTCTCTGAGAGGATTAATTAAAACAGAAAACAGGAACTTAAATAGGTTTCTATTGCTCAAATGGTTGCACAGGTCAACTGTAACACCAAAGGAGCTTGTAAATAAGGTTTGTGGAGGTCTGATCATCAAATGGCAAGGGGACTGCACAAACACTCCTGTGCAAGTGCAGATGAAGATCATCAAGAGTGCAGCCTCACCACATCTCTGCACCTACAGTATGTATCAGAAGTTGCAAAGGAAGCCTCAACAATAGAGCAATACTACGGTGATGGTGGTGACAAATACACAGTTTCTAAATATAATCCTGTGTGTGTTGATATTAAACTTCCCATAAACACAGTGTATCTATCTTGTTTGAAATGATCTGACTTTCCAAATCCTTTGTACTACAGTATCTACAGAGTAGACACATTTACTGTATATATTTTTAAGTAGCAGATTCATCATACCACAAAAGTATTTGTGGACTATACTTAACACATATCGCTACGCTATGGATACATACACTGCTGCACTTGTGTCTTTTCTGTGTTTGCTGACATGGGGTGTGGAATTACTTTTTTAAAATAGGAATCCCCAATTATTTCCCCAATAATCCCCAATTATTCCCCGATTATTAATCCCCTATTTCCCCACTTAGGAATTGGTAGTTGTGACATGCATGAGAGCATAGAGGAGGGGTTGCACCCTTCCTTCCATACCATACCACTTGCCAGAGCTGTTTGCCTGTCTCCAGGCTCCACAGGACTTTCCAGCAGATTTAGCATTAGCAAGAGGAATGATACAGCTCCCACTGACAGCACTGAAAGCTGGGACAGGGCTGTTATCCAGAAAGGCAACAACTCCCTGACCAACTCAACCTATTTCAATACCAACACAGTATTTGACCAATCATAACAGGTAATGTCTGGGATATAGAGATCCATCTTCTGTATGGCCTAAATAAGGGCCTGTACAGACCAAGTTTACTAATGCTCTCTTTACTGATGTCTCTTTTTAAGGTTTAAGTAAATGCACTAGTATACTATTTTTGATAACAACTGACACCTAAAATATATATTGGTTTATCTTGTCTATGTAAACATATTTGAAATCTAAAGCATAGATGGTACTGCTTCTATCAATAACCTATAATGTCTCAACCTGTTGCTAAACATCTAACAGACTTTAATACATTTTGAATTATTTTAGTTATTCACCAGCAAACAAAGCGATCAATATTCTTACCCTTTGAAAACGCATATAATTACGGTAATAGTTTTAGTTATTTTTTGTTGCAACATAGCTAGTTTGCAAAACCTTATCTGACGTTCTGCAAGTTAGTTTTCAAAGAAATTGCAAAAAGAACATTCAGCATATTTAGTTCATTATGCATAATCTTTCTTTTGAAAGGAGAAATGAAAAGCTGCAAACAGTTTTTCTCATTGCCAATTTGTATAAATTTCTTTAGGCTGCAGTAATTATTGCTGTTTTATGCCACTTTTAGCAATGGGTACTTCACCTACACATCTCTCTCTTTGGCACATCCCGAATTATATTTTGTGCATACAAAAGCTGTGATTCTAAGTATCAAATATTTAGGTAAAGTAATATGCTGTATGTAAGTACTTTCTTGGTTACACACATTATTATTTTGCCCTTGTAATGTGGAATATTTTCATTTTAGAACGTCTGCCGAAAAGCAAACACTTTATAGTACACATAAACTTATTTTTAATGCACTTGTTAAAGGTAATAAAATGAGAGTTTTTAAAAAGCATCAGAAAAGAATCACCTTGATTGAGCACTTTGTAACTACTACTTTAAAAAGTAGTAAAAGAAATAAGGTACAAATGATTGCAGAGCATGTTATTGAAAAGTTTTGCACCAAACTCTTATCGGAGTCCGAACACATGCTGGTCTTTTTTTTTCTATTGTGTTTTATTAAGTGGGTAAGTAACTGCTCACAGCCGACTGTCAGGAAACTGCCCAAGTCCCAGCTGCAATCCCTGTGCTCAAAAACAGGCAGGGCTCTATCTTTCTCTCCTCTGCACATGCTTCCTTTATACAATATTATCACAATGGCAGGTAGCTCAATTGCCCTGTAGCCCAGAGACCTCACCGTTTCTCAAAACACCGCTGAACAAACAAGCCTGTAGTTCACACAAGTACCTCAACACTCATTACTGACTCTCTCACCCAGAAACTTGTTTTTTGGGTTTCCCTGCTATTAACACTTACACAGTTACGTATGAGCTTGTAAGAACCAAAGGAATAAAGCATAGTTCTCCAACACTCTGTTCTCAAGGATCCCAGTCATCCCAGTCATAAACTGTTTTCTCTCCTGCCGTCCGGTAACCGGTATCGAAGCAGTCAAAGACCAACAGATTACGGGACAGCTTCTACCTCCAGAAATAAGACTGCTAAACAGCCAAGCTGCAGTCACCTTCAGCAACCACCCTAATGGTCTTTGTTAAATGGCCAGGTTACATGGACGTACAGTTTTCCACTGTATGTGGCACACTGCATATCGCACTGTTTGGACATAATGTATTGCATACACCCTGCATATGTAGCAGTTCTATTTATATCGAGTTTTTCTAATTCAGTTTTTTTTTATTGTACTATTATTATGTAACTTTATTCTGTAACTTTTAATTCTGTGATTTTTATTTCCCCCTGCTGAGCTCGCAGAAAAGACAGTTCATGAGGGCTGAGTGGGGTGGTCAAGGCTGAACTTACAGATGCTGCATACAGTATGTTCCTTTGATTAAACTTTTTCTTGCCTTATAGTCCCTTTTATTTTAAATTAGAATTGTAATATGTAATATATTAAATCTTGAATTCTTCCAATACTGCAGGACTGAAAACCGGAGTTGAAAATCTTGTAGCATGTTGAGTGATGAAAGGACCACAAACAATATTTTTTCCACTTTCTGTAAGTCAACCTGCACTTACTGTATTACGCGTGACCCAATGCTCACAAAAGTTCTTTATACTTAAGGTTACAGCACTATTTAAACTATTTTGCACTAATGGGAAATTAAGACACATTGACATAAAACATTATTATGTACAGCACATATTGATATTGCCTTGAGCTCTTTTGTGCTGGACTGATAGTGACACTCTGCTCCATGGCTTCAGTGGATAAAAACCTCCAAGTCCTTGTTTTTCTATTAAAAACAGTTCCTTTGTAAAAACATCTAGCTGTCTCCACTCCGGAGAGGGTTTAATCCATCTCAATACAAAAGCAAAAGCAGTTCTCAGTGAGTGAGCAAATGTTTCGCAAGTGTGGTGAATGCTACAGTCTATAACTCAAATGACACTGTGGTCATTTTCAGTATGTGAAAGAATTAATCATTTTTTATTTCTTCCTCTTCGTGCGTTACTTTGTAAAAGAGGTATTCAATCAAATCAAATGTCGTAGACTAATGATCAATATTGGGTCTTTTTCATGCAGCGTGTTTGCAAATAGAGCACTGGACACACTGTCTAGAAGGATCCACCAGTTATGGGTGGCCTTAAAATTCAAGATGGAAATACAGTTAGCATCAAATAAGATCTGATGAAATGCTTCACTGATTTCCTGCAAAATCGCGATGGACTTTTTGGCCAAAGATCACTCCTTAAAATTCAGCTCCTACCTTGATAGACAAATGCTTGCTCTCATGCAAAATCATCTCTTCCGACATCATGAGAGACCTCGCTGGGCTGCAAAGATCCAAAGGCTGCAAGACAATTAAAGGAAAGAATGAATTAAATTAATTTTGCCTTTGAATGTTTGAATTTTTGTTCATTAGAATTTGTACATACCAATGACATTGTCGCTTGGGAGAACGTACGCAATGCAGAGCTTTTTTGGAAACAGAATAAAACTAAAGTTTTGCTAAAGATATAACCAATGCAAACTCGTGCACCTATGAAGACAATAGACTCACTAAGTACCACTATCAGCTACATCTAAAGGTGTCTATAAACAGAATAGCTATAGCACAAGCCACTTCCTCCTCTGGACTTTAGCTACTGGGTACAAGTAACAGCTCTCTCTCTTTTTTCTTTTATTTTAAGTGGGGTGAGATTTTCTGCAAATCAACAGGATGTACGACCACTTGCGAGAGTGAAAAGTATACAGGATCAGTGTCCTCAGCCCCGTGTGGGCGGCTGTTAAGAAAAAAAAATCAAAAAGAAGAAGTGTAGCAAAACTGTCAAGAAACTTGAAATAGCTGTGCGTTGTTCTCAGGGTTTGTTTGAATGCGTCTTAATGCACATTAAGTCTTAGAACTGTTTTAAAAGCATTGCTTTAGAATGCAAAAACAGTCTGTGATGCAAATGAAAGGATAAGCCCACGAATATTGCTTTATTCTGAAAATACTCATTTCCTTTTAAACTTAGTAGTAGTTTCAATAACATTTACCAATATCAATAACATTTGTTAAGGATATGAGGTCATGCTTGTCACCTGGAAAAGAGTAGATTGCTCTCTCTGGATGAGGGGGGAAGGGAACAGCTGTCTCAGGTGGAGGGATTATAGCACTTTTAGCAGCATTATGTCACCCTGCAACTCACAGCTGTCACCCCACCGAAGCTAGGCAGGTATGAGCCTGGTCAGTACCTGGATGAGGGACCTCCTGGGAAAAACTAAGGTCCCTTCTGGAAGAGGTGTTAGTGGAGCGTTAGGGGGCGCTCACCCTGCGGTCTGTGTGGGTCCTAATGCCCCAGTATAGTAACTGGGACACTATATTGTAAAAAGGCGCCGTCCTTCGGATGAGACATAAAACTGAGGTCTTGACTCTCTGTAGTCATTAAAACTCCCAGGGCATGACATGGCAATTCTTCAACGGGCAATGTGTAGACCATACTCTTCACTCTGGGTAAGTACCATTACTGGTTGGGCCGTTAGAAACTCCTCTTACTCGATTTTTAGACTAGTTGATCTCATCATCCTCTAAGTCAGAGTCATCTTACAAGGATCTCCGATCTTTAACCTGCTCCCTGAATCACTGACTTTGATGAGGCGTGGACACTTCATTGTCTCAGTGTGTGTATAGATACTCAGAGTCACGGTTAGGTCCAATGTTTCTAAAAATACTTCCTGCTCACAGAGTGGCTGAGATAAAGGACATTCTGTGCAGCGCTCCTGTGTGGCAATTCCTAACTGGGTGATATTAGATACTCCAGTTATTCTTTTTAACTCCATACCAACCTAAACTAGAGGCTGCATAACTATGTGTCAGACAGGGTTTCCCCACAATTTACTTATAAAGCTAGATTTGACTAAAACAAACTACTCACAGTACTTACCTCTACAGTGTCAAGCATGCCTACCGTATGCTCGTGTGCTGATTTTGGGTCACAGAAATGTTTTTGCTAAATGGTAATATTTCTGATAAAACCCTAACCACTCAAAATTTATAATGTCGCATTATAGTGAATGAAATAAGGAAAAAACTGCCTAACCGGGTCACTGCCTAACCGAGTCAAAACACACCGGGTCTGTTTTTCTAGACCTAGGTCGCCATAATGTTAAAAGACACTTCAAATTCAAAAGTTGACGGCGGGTTCTTTTTTTATTTTACGCTTTCACTTTTGATTAAGTCCAGACCCAGGCGCAAGTGCAAGCCCAGGAGCGGTCCAAAACGCCCAGGAGCTAAGGGAGATAGGACATCTTGGAATTCTTTAAACAACCCGAAGGTGCAATCTTTAATCCCTTGCAGAAGGGGAAAAGGGAAGGGGAAAAGGTCGTACTGTACCTGTACAAAGATGGGGAAGATGAGTATTTTCGGTGCCAGTTTGACATACGTTCCATAGTTGCCATGAGGAAGGTGGGACCTCACGATGGTGCAGTTCTGATAGTTGGCATAGTTGCAGTCCTGCTGATAGCTGGCATGGGGTGGCACTTTGGGCGCAGAGGTATTCGACCCCAGGAAAGTGGACCTTCTTTGCAATATTGAAGGCGGACGGCTTCTGTACACTCTTCCTGTCAAAACCAAAACCAGCACATCCCCATGATTAAATAGCCAACGTCACACAGACTGCAAGCCTCAGAGCAATTAAAACCGTTTTCACCTGGGAATTGTCTGGGAAATCATGATTTAAAACTCCCAATTCAGGGCATACTTTGCTTTAACCAAATGCTGCTTTTTAAAAGTAAGTCTATTGTGATTAAGCAGCGCTCTCCTCAAAACTTTCAATGATACTGTATATTACAATTTTCCCCTCTGTTTGTATTTAATAACTTTCTGAAGATGCCCTGAGAGAGTTCTCAATTTTTATTTAATTTAATTTTTATTTCAATTTAACTTTAATTTTATTTTTTCATTTCTGCTAAAATATACAATTACATTTCTTGTGACTACAGTATTTAAAGGTAACGTTTTTGTTTTTGCACATACTTGTCCAGGCCTTCAAAACGAATGTATATATCAATATTAAACATATGCTTTAGAACGTCATGTACTTAAGATTCAAAAAGCGCAGGCAGTCTAGAAGCAAGGAAAATAGGGCACTGAGTTACTGAATTTCTAATTTTTAAAGTGAGAAACTGTGTTGTGGTTCAAGCTGGCATGAAAGAGGATAAGTTTAACTAGAGCTAGATTGCTGAATGTCACTTAGCAAAATAAAGGTTTCTCATTTCATCCTTCATATCATGATACAGCAAGTTCAAGTATTCATCCCTGAAAGAATGTCAGCCTTAAGGGTGGATCAGCTTTAATGTAAATATGATACTGCATTGAGAACAGCCCTCACACAAGACTCACAGTACCACCTACAGTTGTGTTTGAAATTACACTCCTTATAGCACTGAAGGAAAATTCTTCAGATCTGGCAGCTTTTTTAAATGAGATACATCACTAAGAATGGAAAGCTTAAAATTCTGGCTTGGCAAATGTGAATACGTCAGAACAAAATCAATTTCTAAAGGCTGATTCTGGATAATGTATTACTTCAACTGTATGCCAGTTTTACTTCATTTTCCTGGCAGCTGATCTGTATTATATTAATAATTTAATTGATTTGTCAACTTTAAGGTAAAAGGAAATAACATTTCCACTTACTCTACCCCAACCCCCTCATCTATCTCCCTTCCAGTAGTAATACCCCCATGTTTTAACTTAAGGACCCCTAAAGCCAGACTGCTACTGAGGCCCACCTGCAAGAAGACTGTGACTTGATTTTGACTTGAGTTTTTTTTTATTTTGAAGGTGAATAGGTTAATATGTTGTCTGAATTAATCTCTTCCACTAGGGGCAGATATTTGGAATACCTTCATTTTCTTTCACAAGACACCAATCTACAGTAGATACCTGTATGCATCGTTTTTTCTGTACTATAATGATGACCCACTCCACTATCTTAAACTTATCGCAATCAACAGCTCACAGATAACACAAGTTGAATAAAATAAATCATTTTAATGTGATCCTGCTATAGTTACTGTATGTGAAAGCATTATCAAAATTATCAACATAAGTTATCTATAAATACAAATCAACAAATGGTATTGAGTAGATTAAATGGATATAATGCTTTATTCCCTTAAATATAAAATAAACATTTTCATTACGTTTTATTGTTTATCATAGCCCAAATTCCTTTTGTACTTTTGTTTTGGGTGGAGATCACATCTGAGTAGAAACATTCAAACATGTCTTGATAAGAAGAATTCAATAAGAATTTATAGCATGCTTTGGAGAAACTGAAATGCAAATGCAATATTATAATGCAGGCCAAAATCTCAGGAGACCCCAGTAAAATGAAAATGCTATCAGTAGCTGGCAGAAGATGATTATCCTAAATGAGCACAGAATAGACACCAATCACCTTCCCCAGCTCGCAGTTTTATCAAAAACTGTTGGAATGCTTGAGCACAGATGCTACTGAAAGCATTGTTGGGACTACAAATATATTAAAAGCTCATGCTTTTGTGTCCTGTTCAAGCTGATTGTGGTGTTTGAGATCCACAAAATCATGGATTCCTGCAATTTTAATCGTGATATCGGTGTTTTGTCATATACTGGCATTAAAAATTTGACATCACAGCACAGATTGAAAAGAGGCTCACCAAGGGTACCACGGTTGTCCTGGTAAACAGGCCGCAGTATCTGTAAACGAACAGGGAGATGTTACAGACTTTCAAGTAGGGAGCTGCGTCAGCATGCACAGGCTGCAAAGGAACAGGTAAAGGTTTATTCCATGCTGAAAAGAAAAGCAAAGACACACAACGTTTCAGCTGTGGAGCCTTCTTCAGGTGTGTGATGACGTGTTACAGACAGCAAGGAGACAAGTTATATCCTATCTTCTTAATCCATTCTGTGATTAAGAACTATATACATGGGCGCACACATATAGTTTTCAAAACAGTGGTTACTTCACTCTTTTGCTTTTTAAAGACATTTGTTTTTTTCTCCCCTCTCAAGACTGAAATAACTGCTCAATGGCGTTTACTTTCCTGCATGTACAGGTATACCTACAGTAGTAATGTGTTTGTTTGGAGAAAGAGAAGGGAAGAGATAGAGGTGGGAGGGAGGGTCTGCCAACACACAAAAGCAGCGAGCCTGTTTTGTCTGCAAGGGAAACAGCGGCAGGTCCTCAGCAGGGGGCCTCAACGTGCTGCAAGATTGTCAGAGATACCAGGGGCAAACCACAGAGCTGAAAATAACGATCCGCCACTCTGCACAGACCGCAGCCGACAGCAATCTCCAGTTCACCTGGCCTTTCAGAAAATCCCATTTCCAGGGTGCAATGCACACTCTTCTGCATTTTGAAAATTGGAAGAATGGGCAAAAAACAAAGATCTATGTACTGTTCAGCAAATAACTGGGTGATTGTTTCTTTCCTTCCTTTTACATCCGTGAGCTGTTTCTGTGTAGCACACATACTACTCTACTATGTTTTCCATGTTTGATCAGCGTGATTTTCTGTTGCTCTGCTGCATGAGAAATAATAAAATTAACAATCAAAACTAAAATCTTTGTGGAGGAAAAATGAAATGTTATAGTAATTCTACTCTGAAATTTATATGCAAGAGTAAAACACTGCCTGGGCTGTGAAGTCCACTTCAGGTGCATTTTACGCAGTATTTCAGTGTGCACACCCTCTGATGGAGTGCCTTGCTTTAAACCCTGTATATACTAAATGAAGAACGGTTTGTGTTGATACATTATCAAAGCCTGAACGTTTAAAAAATAGCTTTCAATATGAACAGTGTTCCTTTCTATTCACACACTGAAAAAAGTCATTATTGTGCACTGTGTGGATCTAATTTCTGTGCACCAACACATTTTATTACCATTTATTTATAATATTTAGAATTCCCTATTATGCAATAGATCCTACAGTATGTAACTTTTTTAGAAACATGAACACAATATGTACTGCAATTGTCGGTCCTATGGTCAATATCTATTATTAGTATTTGCAATCTGTCAGCATTATAACACTATTTCAAACTGACACTATAACAATTTAGCACTCATTCGCCTTTTGTTTAGAGCAGGTTTGATTTTTAGGTGTCTTGCATGGTAATTCTACACCTCACAATAAATACCGTGCCTCGGCCAGCATTGTTCAATTTAGCACATTATATCGAATTCAGTTTTTGCAACATCCTTCTATCATTCTTTTTATATGCCATCGAATTGTTAAATTTATGTTTAAAACTTGTGATAGGTAGAATGCTGACAACATTCAATTTGCAGTTAGTGGAAATCATTAGAAAGGAAAGAAAAATATTTAGGAAATCCATTACAACACAGGTAGTGGTGACATTCATCCTGTACAGTAGGCTTAATTGTGTGGTTTCTGAAAACAAATGACTAAAAAACGACTTTCCACAGGGATGTAGGGTATTGAAAGGGACATTGACTGCACTTCTAACACAATAAAGACACTAGAAGAGGAGAGGACAGCCTCCTTCACTGTATTATTGTGTTGGCAGAGCCCCTTGACAGCGCCCCCCTGTGGTGACCTGGCTGATATATGCTTGGTATTCGCCAGAGCTGCAGAGCTGCCAGGTCCTTAAACAGCACAGCCACAAGTGGGAAATTCAGTGACAACAAAAGAGGGGGTATCTGTCAGGTTCCCAATGGATTTGTCACCTAAAAGAATCTGACCGTTTTAGTTTGAAAGTAAAAACAGTGCCTCAGGCTTATAAGACAGACTTTGAAAAGTCAGTGACAATGATCAATGCACCTGCATCAGTTGTGAACGGAACAAGAAGGGTAGCTACTCAACCCTTTTTGACTATGTTGCGTTAATCAGGGTCACAGACTGGCCCGGATACTGGTGCTTTTATCTGTGCTAGGGCGTGTAGGCAGATGTACTGTACTCACTGGTCCCTACATGCCCTAAGACTGGTGTATGCTACCTCACCTTACAGCCTTGCTAGAGATTCCCATCGCTCCTCAGTTGCTCACAATCAAAGCATTTTTTCCCCTAACATCTTGGATAATGGAAAGCTCCTCTAAACAGGCAGGGGTTAACCCAGCAAAGTCCAAGTCATTGGTGTCAACATACTACACAGACGGCCCAGCACCCATGCTACCCTAAACAATCTGTTCCCTGCATTCACAACTACTCTATAGCAAGGAAGTCTATTGGTTCATCCATCCATCCATCCATTTTCAAATCCCCTTGTCCATTACAGGGCTGTGGGGAGGGCAGGAGCCTAACCCAGCAAGCAATGGGTGCAAGGTGGGATACATCCTGGATGGGACACCAGTCCATCACAGGATCTAATGAGTTTAAAATTCACATATTACAAGATTTAAGCCAAGGTTCTGACTTGGTACACTGAAAACTCATGTATACAAGATGCTATAATTTAAATGCAGTCCCTGTGATCTAATACCTACTCATAATACTTTCAAATTTTACATCAGGCTATTCACACAGCATGTCAGAAGTTAATGACACTGCTCGCTATTGTGATGTCATACTGCAAGACAGGTGTGTTTTCAGCTCCCGTATCAATGACAGAACCACCCAACAGTGATTTGAACACGATGGCCAGAAGGAGTGGGTACCTGACTGCCTGGGTTGATGGGGGCCAGGATGATGTAGTTCTTGTCCCCGGAGGATGCCACCCGGGTGCCCTTCAGAGTCTGGTTCTTGCTCTTTTTCTCGCCCTCATCCCATCGCTCCCAGTGGCTGGTCACGCCACTCTCTGATCCATTGACGAGGACGTGGTGGCCCGACCTCTGCTCTGTGGATAACGGGGGGCCAGGGGCACTCTTCTCCTTCTTGCTAGGGGGGGAGGGAGGGTTGTAGCTGGGCTTGTAGGAAGGCCGGTGGATCAGGCCTTCAAATCCAGGCTTTATCACCGGAACCGTCCGCCACACCACCACGGTGATCTCGCTGTGACAGTTTCTGGAGGTGATAGAACCCAGCAGGATTGCAACAACATTTGCACACAGAAAAGGAGAAAAAGGAAATGGGGGGTTTGGGGAAGAGCTCTCACTGTTACTACATAATAGCTCAGAAGAAGAAAGCGCAACTCCATCCACTGGGTCTTGCCTGCTCTTGTCATTTCAAAAGGCCTGTTTTTTGGGCCCGATGGCCGACTAGAGATGCGATTCAGTCAGGAAACAGAAAACTTTTATACATACTGTATCTGAGAGAAAAGTAACACTGTGAACAAGAAAAGGAGAAAAACATTTTCAGTGGTTACCAGATGGGCTGACTGGATGTCAGATTAAAGGCACATTTACAGATAGGAAACCTGAGTAAAGGAAAGCTTCACAAAGATCAAAAAGTTCCTCCTTTTTTGCTTTAAAAACACTCCCACTGGAAGGCAGGAGGCAAACTCCCTCCTCTGTGTCACTCTTCCCACTTACGTAATATGTTTAAGACAACTTTGACAACTTTATTTAGTTTATAATTTAAAAGAGTTTACAATAATCCATCAATTTAATACAGTATTCATAATCTGCTCATTACCGGACATTATATCTAGGTCTCTTTTGGTCAGAACTCACAGACAGCATATTTAGTTTGGCTTTCAATCAAGAAAAGCCTGAATTAGTGAGTCAGCAATAAATAACTCACTTGGCAATGGTTCTCTTGTTTATGTATGGCATGTCTGTGTGACCAAGTTGTCACACAGACATGTTTATCCATCTAAACTGATCCATAGAGCTTCCTGTTCTGTTTCTGGACAGGAAAGATGCTCTAGGTGCCAAAGATCCTGTGAAAATGGACAATGCTGCAGTCTAGGTCTGACAAACTACAGTTCCGGTTAACAGCACTGGTGTAGGTCAGTGAGTTATATTTCCGCAACAAAGAGTGTGAGAGCATTTTTCTAATATCTTATCAGACAGAAACATTTATCTTAGTACAGGGTAACATAAAGACAGAAACTTAACACAATACTTCATTTTTACAATTGTCAAAGGATTGGATATCACAGTAATTTATGTACTTCTCCTAAATGGGTGCTTAGTATAAATGACAGCCTTATCAATGGGCTCACTCCTCCAAGATGAAGCAAAAGGGCAAAAGTGGCTAGTATTAATTTCAATCTGAAATTTCTGTTTAAGACTTGTCTTAAAATCACACATTGTAACAGCAAAGTTATCAACATTAGACTGTACATTAGGAAAGCATTTCTATATAAGAACAACAACACGCAATTAACGATGAGCAGGCGTGAGTGCCTATTGGTTTGTCTAATAATGTTCTGTACTCTATTACAGGTTATAAAATTAAATGGAATTTAGAGCCCTAAAACCACTTTTGTGTCTCACAAAGTGACAAAATCCTAGAAAAGATGAGCCATAAATTAACTAAATTAACTCTTGAAATGCTGTGCTATTCTAAACTGTTAATTCTTGTGAGAACATTTAGGTCTTTTGCCAAAGGTTTTGAGGAAGACCAATTCATTCTTGAGGTCTAAGCAGCTGACTTGGAAACCCATTCTGAGACACACCGTACCTGATAGCGTGGGCGAGATCCACACATTTCCACTGCTCCACAGGCTGGCCGTTGAGCTGTAGGACTGTATCTAACTGCTGCAGGCCAGCCTGGTCTGCTGGGCCACCTGAAACCACAAAATACAGGGGCTCTGAGCTCAAATACAGACAAACAGCCACATAGGTTTCACAAAGGGGTGTCGAGACCTGCCATTACATATTAAAAAAACAAAACTCAGTGTACTAATATTTCACTTGAAGTTGCTGTCTACATTGTGTGGTGTTACAGTATATGTTGTACTGTGTTGTCTGCTGTGAGAGAACAACTCAAATAAGAATTCTCCTGCACATGGACATATGGCAAATACATTCCTCTCTAAACTCTATTGAGTTCCCTTCTCCTTGTCTTGAAATAAATCAAACACCAATGCTAGGAAGCTCCGTTTTACAACTTACATCTAGACAAACAACCTGGAATTGAACATTTGGACATGATACTGTATATTGATTAACAGGCCAGGAATTTATAACTTCATAACCCTGTGTTTTATGATAACCTTCAGGAGTACTTTCGATCAATTAAACAGGTACTGTAAACTGTATGGTCCCTTCAAGAGTACAGCCGTGTCAGGGTCACATTCCCAAAATCCTCTGGGAAATATACAGTAGTCCTGAGTGCGCTGTGCTCTCTCAATCAGGTACAATCCTTTCTTTTCCACTCTTCAAGCATTTTCTTTCCAGACCCTCAAATTTGAAATCAATAGCTGTTCATCCAAGATGCTCACTACTGTAATATTTTGCACAAGTTCATTCCTCTTGTCAAAATCAATAACAGTTGCTTTCAAGCTGTGATGACCCCAAATGCCAACAGGAGAGATTATAGTAACGCTACAGAACAGCAATTCAGATCGAGCAGAAGCATAACACCACAAAGAACACAGGCGCCTGAGAGATCACTGGGGTCACTACTGTGAGGACAAACCAAGCCTAAAACCACTGCAGTGGTCATCCAATTGTAAGGCACCATTTAGTACTCAGTTTGCCTTCTGAATGCCCATCTTTGATAGTTAACCTCCCAAGATATGTTGGTTGTGACCTGGACAAAACATTTTAGAAACAATGGGCAGTTTAGTTTTTTTTAATGAGGTGTTGACTATGTGAACACTCTGACACAATTAAAGCTGACACTTCTTAACAAGACTAAAACTACATTTTAGTACAAAACTGCACTGAATGGTGCTAAGCATACTGTGTATTTAATGAATCAAGCAGTTAAATATAGTTTAGTAGAAGGTATTATTAGTAAAGCACATTTATTGTTTACATGTCTATTTTAATTTGTGTCAGCTCACTTCAATTGTTTTTCACAAAACACTTCTCGAGCTGCAAGACAAATAAATGCTTCTGCTTGACAGATTGGCAGTGATTTCACAGTCAGCTAACCAAGCACATGACTGACTTGGTACTTCCAGGTTTGGAATTGTTTCACATGAGAAAAATGGATAGATTCATGTGTCGCTTTAAAACGCTGCCTCCCTCTTTCTCTTATCTCTGCCACACTGGAAAACACAAAGATGTCTTGCCTGGATCAACGGCCTGGACTCGAACTGGGGAGTCGGAGCAGATGGTGAAGCCGAAGCCGTCTTTTCCACGCAGGATGGTAACCTGGAAGACAAGACCACACACTTCACTGTCTTGTGCTGCAGAAGCACCAACTACCCGTCGGACTGAGGCAGGATTAAATACTCGCCATCCCCTAAATCTTTATAAGCCGCTTAAGGGGCTACAACAGATTCCAGCATCCATCTGACCTCTTGACCACGCTGCCCAATAGCTTGCTGGGGCCACAGCCTCTACCCTGTCGCCAACGGCCATCTGAGAATACTTCTGAGACGCTGAGGCTGTTTTTGGAACACTGCGAGGCTTTTTATTTTTAAAAAACATGACTCAGTCAGCTCTGAAGAATGCTTTTTCTGTCAATGTGAAAACCATATTGGCGCAGAGCTGGCAGCCGGTACAGGATTCGTCTCTCAATGCCTTGACTCAGGCCTGGTCCTGAGGAACTGTTCGACGAAAGGCAGAGAAAACAGTGTGGCCTGCCCTTGCCCTCCCACCAGACACCGAGCTGTGAATAAGGGGTGTATCGATTATTTGCTTTTCATTGAGTCCCAGCCTCATTAAATCAGTTACAAGTCCCCAAAGACAAATCCACCTTCCCCCTCCCCCATTGTTTTGATGCAAAAATTCAAACTGCAGTTTTTAAAGTGCATGTAGAACTGTTATTTATTTATTGCTAAACTCAGTGTGCACGAAACCACTACTTTTGTTGCCAAAAGAAATATTCAAAAGCTATGTCTTGAAGCTTTTACATTCTGAAATCGCTTTATTTGGAAAAAGAGTGTTTTTGATCACAGCACTGTAGTGTAAATGTGAAGTGCACAGAAGATTCTAGAAGGTGCATTAATCCAAACATTCTGTACAATGTGTTTTCCTTGATGCAGCCTTTCATAAGTAATCTTTCTCTTGACATTACAGATCCACGGACTCTCTCATGTCCTTTCAAACTCTGCACTCAGGCAATAGCAAAGACAATAAAGAGCTTTGCAGTATCAAAAGTCCTTCAGCTTTATTTAGACACCTAAATTATCATTTAGATTTCTGGAATATGGTCACAAATAATACACTGCCCTTCTTATTTGTGAGCATTGTTTCCAGTACAATTTGAGATGGCAGTATATTAGGTCAATATTTCTGTCATATACTATACATTAACACACATTATAGCAGGTTGGCGCCTTAAATTTAGGCCAACGACTTGCATTTGATTTGTTTGCACTTCAAAAACAATCTAGCTGTCGAGAAATGCAGTTAGTTTGCCTTACAAATTCATTAATTTCCTCTGCTTCCTTCATGATGAAGTACAAGACCATTAGCAAAGCCACTTAAAGAAAACGGATGACTAATTAATTACAGCAATCCATTACAGGCTTCCTTATAAAGTTTTTTTTCTTTCCCACTGTAACTTCAAATCCACAGAACAGATACGTTCATTTGTGTACTCTGCAACATTTCTGTGTCTGGGAAAATCTATCCACAGATATTACACACACTGTATCAACCTCACAGTAGTTCAGAGATGGCAAGTTTCCACTGGAGGAAACAGAGATCTCCAGCAATAGGAAACCTTAAAGTACATGGCTTTTAGACTAGGAATTGAAGGTCAGATCTAAAACGATTGCAAACCTTTTACTTTTCAATTTTGTGCGCACCGACCCATTGGAAAGACACATGCAGAAATTCGTCTGTGGCCAGGCATACTGTTACAACCCAGAGCCAGTCTTGGGTTTAAACTTCTTCCTGCCAATATCTGAACCCCTGCCAACCCCAGGCCAGTCTGAACAGACCTGACAATGTGCTGACCAGTTTGAACAACTCAGGTTCTTTGCTTTAGATACTGAATTAAAACAAGGACACTTCAGGGCAGAGATGCATTATCCTTCCACCTTTGTAATAACAGGAATAAATCAACAGGGCACACCAAAAGCATAATTGCCGTTTACAGGAAGTCATTGACTTTCCATATGGATCTCTTGAAAACAGATGAGATATCAAAACCTAACTGTATATCTTTGCAACAGAAAGGGCAAAAGCTTCTGAAGTACAGATCTATTAATGAAAGGCAAGAAAACAGAAAAACAGCATCTATTAATCCTAAAGGCTATTAAACCAAGGGGATTTTACACAAATGCCCATCAATGACATGGTTTAAATTGGACTCGCTAACATTGGTACAGATAAAAGTCCTTCAAAATAACAGGTCAGTTGTGAAGTTACACCAGCCACGAGACTTTGATAACAGGGTCTTTTCCTGCTCAATAGCATGTGTCTAATTTAAAAGGAAAATCAAAAACAGAGTACATGCCCAACTGTCCTTATGCTGATTTTAGATGGTGAAGCAATTTCTTTTAATGAACAGTTCTGAAGAAAAAGTCAACGGTTTTGAATTTGGCAATTTCCTGAGCTGACTACACCTTCTTGGCACGTCTGTGAGTCTCTTTCTGTTCATTTCTGTATGTCTGCTAACATGAAACATGCACCAGCTAACATGTGCACATCAGAAGAAGAGAACCAGTGATGTGCAAGCTTAAGGCATATAAACAACTGCTCTAGTTAATCACCACTATCTTAAATATTGTGGAAGGTGTGTAAATGTTAATGCTTGTTAGTCTCAGGCAGTACAGTATATATAATTTGTAACACAGAGTGGATGAGTTCCAGATATTCTGCCCAATAGCATAATTCATTTCTTCTCCTAAGAATGTTAATCCTTCATTTTTTCATTATATCCCTTGATCACTTAACACATCCTTTTTATATCAATGATCAGACACCTGGTTTCTTTGGCAGCAACCTAAAGGCATTATTGGCTGCCGTACAGCTTTGCACTGAATTTGAAAACTCCTTTTTTTTTTAAGCCTACACTCATATTTTATCAATCTTAGAAGACATTCGTTGTATTTCAATGCATTAAGGTCTACTAATAGTGCTGAGTGTGCAGTGCTCCAGGTTAGACTGCAGTTAATTGGACTTTAGCTCACACAGCAAATGAGTAATGGGATCTGCATGTGAAAGTAAAATTACTGTATTTTTTCGACCAGTATTAAGAATAATGTTCACATCTTTAAGTAGTTTTGAATTGAAGAATGATGTGTTATTATCTGACCATGCCTCAGACAAACACGCCAGATATTACAGCTCTAATATTCACTCTAATTAAGATTTTTTTTCTTTAGATTTAGTTTTGTGTTGTAGCCAGATAATACAACCAATTATACAGTGCAAGAAATAAGGTTCTCAAAGTAGGCAAAACTTAACTTAAAACCATTAACTACTGTATTGTTATCAGGACCATATTCTTATTTTGTTTTCCTGTTGTTAGTAGGCTCTTTTTTAGCTTATCATCTTGTGTGTGGAACACACACCCTGAACCTCTCACCTTTTTTTCTGATCTGCACCTCATTGCATGTCTACAGAACAGCCAATGTTATACTACTAGCAAAGCAATATCTGAAACTTAGTTATAGTGTAACACACTCCAGGGTGATCTTACTAATAGTGCCCTTCCTCCAGAGCACAGGTTAACAGATTACTGCTTTGGAACTGGTTTTACGGCATCAGTCAACTAACAACGGTTTTCCCGAAGCAGTGAGGCAAAACTGGATAATTCCCATCGGATTTGGTTGGGTTGTCTTGGCTTCCTGGACAACAGTGACCCCTGCAGGCCGACGTCATGACCAGCGAGAGCTGCATCAGGTGTCTGTCACTTTGTTAGCTGTAGTTTGCACACTGAGCTGTCAGCGTGTGAAGAAGGAGATAGCGACAGCGCATATTATGGAAAATGAGAACATTCTGATGTCTGTGTCAGTGCAAGGGTTGAAGCAGTGAACCAAATTAATTAATAATTAGCTGTGCTACACAATGGGAGACAGAAACCTCCTTCAGGCGTAATTTTGATTTGTTAGTTCTAGGTATTCTAATTATTCCTTAGTTAACATCCCATTGTGTGTGCCCTTGGAGATTATTTGCAGCTGTTTATGCTGAATATCCCCAATTATTATACTCCAGAAAGAGTCCTTATAACTGAATGGTAGGAAATGATCTAGTACAGCAAATTTGTTTCAGAACCTGCCTTTGCAAGAACAGCTATTCAGCTGAGTTAATGTAAAAAATAGTATGTATTGTCTGTTTCCTTAGGCAAGCTCTTAGGCAAATTGAAGAGAACATAAATACTATAAGCAGCAGCACAATAGTGTTTTCTGTACAATGTATAATATGTTCCAATTTACATTTAAAAAAGTCGCTGGATTTGCCGTAGTGCATGTTCCTGTTATTAACGTGAGAGGTTCTCCTTGGCCTTGTTAATCAAAACACTGCCCAAGTTCATCCAGGGAAAACACTTGTTTCGCAAGATGGAACAGCCTTTTCATTTTCATTTTAATCTTAGGATTTAAAAGGAAAAGGATTAAAAAAAATAAATTATTTGAATGTATCAGAATGGTTGTGGGTTGTGCTGTCAAATAAAAAAAAAACTGAGAAGTTATTTACGTTCCTGGAACGTTCCTAACTAAATGTTTTCAACTGCATCTCTCATTAAACATTTTTCGTTTACATTTCTCCAGTATTTTTATGATACTGTATGAATAAGGAATGACATTTTTTAAAAGGCCAAAAATTCTCTCTTCAAAGGCCATGATGCTGGGCCTTCAGAAGTGCCACAAGTACAAGCACAGACTGAGATGGTTCAGTGGGCTGTGTTACTAACCGACTGGGACTGGAATACCAGAGGCAGCAGTGCATAGTTGGCTAAGTGTAACCAGGGAGAGGGCTGTGGTTACTCGCTCTGGGCTCTCTCAGCCACCCCAGGTACGTCCCGAATACCTGCAGGCTCATGGTGACATCATGCACCTCTTCTCCTCCTCTCCTCAGATGAGGAGTCCATGCTCAGATTGGGATGATTTAATTATTGGAGTGCCACAGGGATCTGCTCCAGGACCACGTTCTTCCTAATTTATATCAACATCCTAGATAAACTGGTATAATTAAATAGTCAAATTTGGAGACAATACTACAACAGGAGGATCAGCAAACGCTGCAAAAGCAGCAGA